CGGAGCCGGGGCAGGGCTGGAGAGAGGGAACGGAGGGAATTCCCTGGGCAAGGGGAGATGGGGCTGGGATGTTGGGAATTGGCAATTGGGAATTGCTGGCTGGGCTGGAATTGCCAGAGCAGCTGGGGCTGCCCCTGCATCCATGGCAGGGACACCTCCCACTGGCCCCACAAACGAGGCTGAGTGTCCTGCACCCTCTGGCCTGGGATCCCCGTCCCCATGGATGTCCCTGCCCTGGGATGTGGGGGAGCCCGGGAAACGCCTGGGCTCTGCTGGGATCACCCAGCCATGTCCCAGCCCCTCCTCTCCAGCGGGAATTCAGGGGATTCACCCCCCCAGGTGTGACTGGAGGGGCTCCACAGCCCAGGGACACCCCAGGACAGGAGACCCCGGCCCCTGCCCGGCCCCAAAGCCACGGAACACCCCGGGAACACCCGTGGGATGTGGGAGCTGAGGAGCAGGAGCTGCTCCAATGGCTGGGCCCCCGGAGCCAGGGATGGGGATGGGGATCGGGATCGGGACCAGGATTGGGATTGGGATCGGGATCAGGATCAGGATGAGGATCAGGATCAGGATGGGGATCAGGATCAGGATGAGGATCAGGATCGGGATCAGGATGGGGATCAGGATCAGGATGGGGATCAGGATGGGGATCAGGATCAGGATGGGGATCAGGATCGGGATCAGGATGGGGATCAGGATCAGGATGGGGATCAGGATCAGGATGGGGATCAGGATCAGGATGGGGTCAGGATGGGGATCAGGATCAGGATGGGGATCAGGATGGGGATCAGGATGGGATCAGGATCAGGATCAGGATGGGGATCAGGATCAGGATCAGGATGGGAGCTGTGCACGTACTTGTTGGCTCGGATCCCCTCCCGGCGGGAAGCCAATCCTTCGGCCACCAGGGACTCGGCGATGTTCTCACCACTGGTGTCTGGGAGGGAGGAGCAGGAGGGTGAGAGGAGCCAGAGGGACATGGGAACCGGGCAGAATTCCCAGTGATCCCAGGAAAGCAGCACTGGAACAGCCCCAGAGCTCTCCTGGGGACACCACTGACCCCAGCCTGGGCTCCCTGGGCACTTCCAGGCCCTGACCTGAGCCCCTTTCCATGGGGAAATTCCTGCTGCTGCCCACCCTGAGCCTGTCCTGGCCCAGCCTGAGCCTGTCCTGGCCTACCCTGAGCCTGTCCTGGCCCAGCCTGAGCCTGTCCTGGCCCAGCCTGAGCCTGTCCTGGCCTGGCCTGAGGCCATTCCCTCTCCTCCTGTCCCTGTTCCTGGCAGCACAGCCC